TTTAATAATATTAATATTTATACATATTATTTAAAATAATAGGATAAATTTAAATAAAAAGTAGATTGAAAGTCAAGCGCGTACAAAAATTAATATGAAATCCGGGAATCAAATCCACAAAGGATTCCCTGTAATAACACTTTTGCCCTTCCATGTGTGTATATTTCTAAATATTCGTTTTCGTGTACTCTACTTTTGCTGAATTTTACAACAAATTTCTGGTCAGAGGAATTTAGGACCGTTCGATCTTCTTCGTGATCCGTGACGCAGAGAGAGACACAATCATTACCCTGTAAGTACTCCAAATCTTTTATTCCCAACGAAATTGAATTCAAAGAGAAAGACAAATTTCAAGCCCTTAATTTGGACTCTTCTCGTGAGACTTATTATTGTTTTGCTGATTTTACTTCGTGTTTTTCTATTAGGCGCGCGGGTACTTTGATCCTTCCATCGGGAAATCTGATTACCGGCGGCGCCGCCGTCTTGATTCTTCTTGCAGGAGCGTAGATGTCGGGGCCACTCGACCGGTTCGCTAGGCCTTGTGAGTTTAACAATTCTCGTTCTCTTCAACTGATTTTACTGTTCATTTTAGGTTCGGTTTGGTTGCTTTAGAAATTCTGGTAGTGTAGATAAGAAGAAAGGGAATCGATTTTTGTTTAGGTTTACATATATAACATTGGAGAATTTAGTCATTTTTTCATTTATTTATTTTTGTGTCTTAGTTGGGTAAATTTACCGTGCTTTGCTGATTCTTTGTTTCAGGTTTTCTGATGATTTTTCAGAAATATATGAGAAGAAAAAATAATTTGAATTTGAGTTTCGCTTTGATTTTTTTCTTATCATTTCTTTATCTAATGACAATACTTGTTTGTAAATGTAATCCTTCTGAGGCAGGCTTTGAGGGTGTTTCGAGTAGTGATGAGAGGAGAGAGAGAAAATCTGATTTCGAGAACTCAGAGGATGAAAGGCGCACAAAAATTGGATCCTTGAAAAGAAAGCTTTAAATGCATCTACAAGATTCAAGCATTCTCTCAAAAGGAAAAGTAGTAGAAGGAAAAGTGATGGCCGTGTCAGCTCTGTATCCATTGAGGATATTCGTGATCTTGAGGAGCTGCAGGCAGTTGATCAATTTCGACAAGCATTGATTATGGAAGAATTGCTTCCAGAAAAGCACGATGACTATCACATGATGTTGAGGTGCTCTCATCTTACCTTTTCTCATATTTCCCCTTATATTTGTTTATCATTGTTCTTTTTAGAACTGCGATCCAATTTTTCTTGGTCTTGTTCTCTTGCCAAGTCAGCTGTGGACAACCTAATTATGTCATTATATATTATACTATATTGTTATTTATATGACGATTCATGATTTTTTTTATTTCTTAAATCTTGACTTGAATTTAATGGGCTTTATTAAGAAAAAAACATAAGAATTCTGAGTATTTTTATCATGCTATTTGTTTGGCCTTTTAAAACTCAAGCTATTTGCTTTCCTTTTGCTGATGTATTATTTCTTTACTGCTTAAAGGCTTCGGTGCCATTTCTGCTGCTATCCTCTCTTTTAGTTGCTTTGCATACTTTTAATGATACAACATGTAATAACCAGTTCTGGTTTACTTTTATCTAGGTTTTTGAAAGCAAGGAAGTTTGATATAGATAAAGCTAAACACATGTGGGCTGATATGCTCCAATGGAGGAAGGAGTTTGGTGTTGACACCATCACGGAGGTAATTACTGTTAACTGTTTGCCTGAAGTAGTATTGGTTGTAATAAATGTTTTTTCACTGCATTTTTTATCCTTTTTTTCAGGACTTTGAGTTCAATGAATTGAATGAGGTTTTAAGGTATTACCCTCATGGTTATCACGGCGTTGATAAGGAGGGAAGACCTGTGTATATTGAAAGATTGGGAAAAGTTGATCCCAACAAACTAATGCAAGTTACAACTTTGGATCGGTATGTAAAATACCATGTCCGGGAATTTGAGAAGGCCTTCAGTGTAAAGTTTCCTGCTTGTACAATTGCTGCAAGGAGGCACACTGATTCAAGCACAACAATTTTAGATGTCCATGGTGTGGTATGTTTTTTGTGACCATTCATTGCTTTGTTAATACATGATAATTTGGTTGCTATGTAGTAGCTAAGTGAGAATTGTTTTTCTTTCCATCTATTATTAGGGCTTTAAGAATTTTACCAAGTCTGCAAGGGAACTAATCATGCGGCTGCAGAAGATTGACGGTGACAACTACCCCGAGGTTTGCCCTCTTTGTGTGCTGGCATGATGAATTACGAATCATGCTTCTATCAAAGTTTTATATTATTTTATGTTGAGCCAAAATTTTTACTTTTGCAGACACTTCATCAAATGTTTATCATTAATGCTGGACCTGGGTTTAGGCTGCTGTGGAATACTGTGAAGACATTTCTGGATCCCAAAACAACTTCAAAGATCCATGTAATTAAATTCTTTTTTCTGCAATATTTTTTAAATTGAGTATACTTATTTTCTTTTAATTTTCATTCCCTTGGTGACTTGTAATCATTACATATATGTAACTTGTGTATTGACTTTAGGTTATTGGAAATAAGTACCAGAGCAAATTGCTTGAAATTATTGATGCCAGGTAAATGGCTTAGAACTTCCATGACATGTTATATTGTTGTCTAATCTTTATTTTACTCTAGTTTGCAATACAATTTTTGCCATCCATTGCTTAGTTTTGCTGATGTATATTTTTTTATCGAACATTCTGTTGCCTCATTCTATCAAAAAGTTTATGGTGTTATTTGAATTCCTTTCAGCGAGTTGCCAGAATTTCTGGGCGGTAGCTGTACCTGTGCAGATCAGGGAGGTTGCCTTCGCTCTGATAAAGGGCCTTGGAGAAATCCTGAAATATTGAAGGTTATAAACTGGCCTTGGTTTATGATATGTTGTTGATGTTATTATTTTCAAGGGCTTGATCAGTGTAATTCTTTCTAACAAAGAAACACGTTATTGCTTGTGTTTTTTTCTCAGATGGTTCTTAATTCTGAGGCAAGGCGTCCCAGACAAGTTGTAAAAGTTCTGAATAGTGATGGGAAGGTTATTGCTTATGCTAAGCCATATCTTCCAATGGTATATTTCTTCTAACTTGTAATGATTCTTTTATGCTGACAATGTTTGACCTTATTGTTTGCATTATCTCATTGCATATTGTGTTGTGTGAAGCAGTTGAAAGGAAGTGATACATCCACGGCAGAATCTGGATCAGAAGCTGAAGATATTGCATCCCCAAAAGCAATGAGGAGCTATTCACAGCTAAGGCTGACCCCTGTTCGTGAAGAAGTGGGTTCTTTTGACATTATAATCCTTCATATTGCTTATGCAATCAAAGTGCATTGTTTGTCCCTTATAATTTGTCAGATTACATTCATTGAGTTTATATACTGTTGGATACAAGAGAAGTTAATATAGTATTTTGCTTTTGGAGGACTAAAATGCTTTCGGATGCTGAGTTAATCAGTATGAAACTGGTTATAAAGTATGATTTTTTTGCTTTATTTTATTTTCATTATGCTAATTACCTTTTTAGGGGTTTCTTTGCTTGCTTTGGTTGTCCATCAACAGTGTACTTAGACTAATGATTATCTTGATGACTTCATTATTCATCTTTTCAGATTCTCAACCTAAATTTATTATCATTGGCATTTTTGGCAATGTTGCTAATCCTTTTCTTTGGCTTTGTAATTCATGCAGACTAAGGTTGTTGGGAAAACAAGCCACGCTGGTAACTTCTCAGGCTATGATGAATATGTTCCAATGGTTGACAAAGCTGTTGATGCTACTTGGAATAAACAAACCTCCCTCCTGACTCCTGTTTCCAAAGGTCAACAAATATAATCTTGCATAGATTCTACAAATTTCTTCTTAAAATCTTGTTTATCCTGATTGTTGCATGCTTGAGAAAATGAATTGTTGTTTTCCATTTCAGGTGCACTAACATTGCCTGAAACACCCAGAGCTCCAGAAGGAATTCGAGCTCGGATTTTGACTGTTATGGCTTTTTCGTGACACTTTACACTCTGCTGCGCTCAGTAGCTTTCAATATAACCAGAAAGCTTCCTGTCACAGTTTCTAGTACTGAACTTACCCCTGATGCAACTCAAAGGGAAGAGCTTTCTCCATCTCCACCTTCTCAGGCAGATGCATTATCTTCTGTGCTCAAGAGGTTGGTTGAGCTTGAGGAGAAAGTTGATACACTACAAGCAAAGCCATCTGAGATGCCTTATGAGAAAGAGGAATTGTTGAATGCTGCTGTATGTCGCGTATAATTTTGTTAAGGCTTAAGAGTCACCTTTACCCCTGAAGTAGACCCCGTTTATCATTCTCGCCCCTATCGTATTTTCGCATCAATTTAACCCACAAAGTTGTTTAATTACATTATTCTATACCTACCCCTAACTTAAACCCTAACGTATAAATCTTACCTAAAGTATAAATCTTAAGTTATGGTTAGGGTTTGTAGTTTAGAGGTTATGGGATTATGGTTTAGGATTTAGGGTTTTAAGTTGAGGTAGGATATAGAATGATGCAATTGAACAACTTCGAGAGTTAAATTGATGCAAATACATCAGGGACGAAAGTGATAAATTGGGTCTTCGGGCAAAAATTATCTTTTTGCCTTTTGTTAATTTTTCCCAAAACATGTCCATTTTATGTTAGAGCTCCCTAAACTATCTAGAGTGATGAATGTCTCAAACTTTGTACTTATGAATTGTTTACATGGCATTTGATAGATGATAGTGCTATAATTGCATTTTGCATTGGCTCAGAGCTGATGAAATCTTCTTTTGAAGTTGGATTTGTTACTTGTTATAGTGTCAAACATAAAACTTGCTGCTTTAGGTGACCATACAATATTTCTAGACATCTCAATGTCCTTTGGACGAGTATTTGCTATCACTGATTAATCACGTATGATTATCATTCTGCTGTATCTTTTCTGTGATATTAATTTGGTTTTGCATGTATGTGCCGTGTGGAACAGGCGCTTCATGAGGCTTTGATGAGGCAGGAAGAACTTCTTGCTTACATAGACAGTCAAGAGGAAGCCAGACTTCGGGTATGATTTATGTTAATTTCGTAGATGTTCCAGGTATTTTTATTGTTTATGCCCCTATGCTCTTATCATGCTATGATTGTGACTCTTTTCTTCTCTGTTTCAGAAAAAGAAGTTTGCTGGTGATAATGCCTTTTCCCATGGAGAGCCGCTATAAATCCCACTTAGTGTTCTGCCTTCATTTCTATTTATACAATTCTCTCAAAATTGAATACAATCTTCTTTTTTAAGTTAATTAAATATAATCTTGTTTTGGATTTCCATGTAATGTCTGATATTAAATGGTTCAGAATTTGGTTTTGGAGCGATAAATGTAAACAACTATTTAAACTATTTAATGCAAGAAATCACCGATTGAACAAACCAAACTGATAGAGAACTAATGCAGTTTTTTTTTTGTTTTGTTTCCCTATAGACTAAAGTTATCATTTTATCATTAATTTGTTCACTAAATTATTTAATTGTATCATCTTATACCATTGATGTTTGACAAACAGAATCGTTAATTTTTTATTGTGAATGTCAGTTGTTTTTCGATATTGTTGATGTGATTTGAGGACGCGTTATTTATTAAAAAAATAAATCTCTTTCTCTTCCTCCTCCATCCTCATCCTCATCCTCGTTCTTTCACCTATTCTCCTCTAGTATCTCTTCCTCCTTTTTCTCTTAGATTGTTTGACGAAACTTGGTTTTGTACCGTACCATTTTACTCTACCAATTCAAATAGCATAGCTTTATTTTTGAATGATCTAAATCTTGCAGTGGAATATCACAATCTTCCTGCAAATAAAGGCTACAAGGTTACTCAAAGGTTTGCAATTTTACTCTACTAAATAGACCTGAGTTCTATTACACCAGTTGGTTTGTGGTGTATCTGGGTTTTTCTATTTAAAAATGGTGTCCTGAATTTTTTTTATTTGTGCTTGAAATAATAGAAAAGATTGAGTCTTTCATTTTCTGAAAGAAAGAGAAGATGAGATGGAGAAAATAGATTACATGCTCATCAAGTATGGATAAAATAGATTACCCGGATGAGAACCCAACATCAACTCCCCCCCCCCTGCTCCACCTTGCTTGCAAATGCAGTGGTTGATGATGATGGTCGGCCAAATTGAGCAGCAGCCGAAGAACCCCCTTCTTGATTATAGAATAATAGCCCACTATTTCTCATCCTCAATTCTTCAGCTTTGGCAGCCTCCAATGCGAAGAAGATGGTAAAGATTCTAAAGAAAGTGAAAGCCCCTCCGATTTGCTTGAACCCAAACAGTGCTTGAACCTAATGGCACCCCTCCGGAACTCGAAACTGAACACTTGAAGAGAAGTAAATGGATTTGGAAGCAACATATACTTGAACCTAGGTACACAACAAAGCCGATTGCCTAGAAAAACTCCATTTTAAAGAAAATGGTACAGTAGCAAACCAAGCTTTTTCAAACATCTAATAGAAGAAAATGGAGAAGAAGAGAATTTTAGGGATTTATTTATTTATAATAAATGTTACATTGTCATCAAACAACGTCAATAATATGACTGAGGAGAAACAACTGGCATTCACGTAAACAGAAAATAACAGTTTTGTTAGTCAAAACAGTCAACGATATAAAATGATACAAATAATAATTTTAAAAATAAAATTAATACGAAATTATGATATGAGTGAAATTAATAAATTTGATCTACTATAAGGCAATTCTCACCCTTAAACATTTTGTTGGGGATTAACTTTATCAATTACATTAATTGGTTATATTTAGAAAGACTTTCAACTTTAAACGGTTGATTGACGTAACTTATTTGATTAGAAATACCTTCAAATCTTCTCTAGGTACAAGTGTAGAAATAGTTAGTTTGTTTTACAGTTTGATTTGTTGTATGTTGGTTAGTAGTCAGTTAAGTATTAGCACGTGGGGTATATACACTGTTATAAATGTGAAGTTATAATCAATGAAGTATTACAATTTTTACAACAGGCACAAATTGTAAGTTGGAGTAGTCTGTGAATATCATCACTGCCATTTGTTTCCCAGCATCAAGGATAAGCATACCAACGGAATGAGTTGTGCATCCATAATCCAAGAAAATGAGTTGTGGCATATTTTATTAGAGACCCGAATTCAATTTAGTTCATATGAATTATACTTCTGACTTTAGATGTTGATTAAAAGTAGAAAATTAGTTCGAGTCTATGTAAATTTCTTTGTATAGATAATTACATTTAAAATAGAATAAAATGTACAAATGGTCTCTCAACTAGATATTATAGTTAAAACTTAGTCACTTTCTATAAATTTCTTTTCAAATTTTCTATTCTCGACATTTACAACACTCATACCTAACTAGAAGTTATAACCGAATCATAAAACTACTAAACAAATTAGAATTAACAAATATTATTTCAAATAATTTAATTATTATCTGAAAAACATTTTCATACTATCTTATAAGATATTTAACTGAAATAATCAATAATCTAATACATAAAATATCCCAATATCAAATGTCCAAAAGAGTCCATAAAAGTCCTATAAATACCAATAATAAATAAATAAAAGTGAAACTGAATATAAAACCCAAGCTAATTCCAAAATATAAAGGGTAAATTAAAAAAGTTCACTAATATTTGAGTAAGTTTTGTTTTTATATTAAAGTTTTAAAAGTAACAAATTGATCTTCTATTATCAATTTGTAACAAAATTATCACTAATGTTATCTATTATAATAAAATAGTCACTAGTCCACTGTCATGCAAGAGGTTCTACTACAACATATTTTCAATTGTAGTGATAGTAGATCTAATGGTGCTTCAATGAATATTACAGAATAATTGAAGTTGTTGAAACTTGACAGTGATGCTTCAACATGTATGTGAATTACGTGAAAATTGAAGTTGTTGAATACTATATTTAAAGAAATTTATACTAAAAGGGATATTGTTACATTTTTTTTACTCAAATTCTAATTGATAATTAAGTTGTATTTTATTATGACTCTAATGGTTAAATATTACTTGTGATTAAGTTTATTAAGATAATAATTCTTATGAAATGAAAGTTTTTGGTGATCAAGTTGTTTTTCTCTATAACAGAGGGTATGCCTTAACTTTTAAAATTATATGGAATAACTAGTTTAGAGAGATACAATTCTTTTCATGATCTTTTTAACTTTTTTTTTATGTTATTAAGATTAGTTTTGCAAGATATTAGAAGAATATTTTGTGATACATCGATTTTAAAATACAATGAATTATATGTATTTATGCGGCAAAATCAACGAGATAATGTTGTGGAAAAAATATTTCACGAGATAATGCGTTCCAACAATTAATTGCTGAGATAGGGTGAAATCTACAGTTCGAACGTATGTCGCTAGGCGCTCCGGGTGACCAAGGAGGTCACCATGCCGTCCCTGCGAGCTGTGGTGAGCTGTTGCACTTTGCATGCTTGAAAGTCGCCATGCACGCCCTGCTGAAATGGAGGTCGCCATGTTTCAAATAAAAGCCTAATTACCGATATAGATAATTATTGTTACTTAGGGAAATTTAGATAATCGCCATGCGTGAAGGTCGCCATGCACGCCCTGCTGAAATGGAGGTCGCCATGTATGTCGGACGACCTTATAGGTCGCCATGTGATCCCGGCGACCAAACCTCCCCCTGCTCCCCTGCTCCCCGCTACAAGCAGTTACTCCCATACAGCTTTAATAGCTGCATTATTGCAGCATCATTTTCGCTTCTTCATGCAACTTCATTTTCATTATTGCAGATGTTGGAGGCCCGTGATTTCAACAATTATTGCCAATTAATTGAAGCAGCCGAGGCTTAATTTTATATATAGGATATGATATGGGGTTAACGAAGCATAAAAGAAAGAAAGGGAGAAGAGTGCAGAGATAAAAGAAGAAGAAGAAGAAGAAGAAAAAGGGAGGCAAACATCGTGAGGTAATTTTATTTTATTTAAATTAGTTTATTATTTTAAATTGTTAGTTTGTTAGTTTAGGGTAAAAGCCTAATTACCGACTTCCAGTTTCATAACGTACAAATTCATAGCGAGATAGTCAGCATGGCAAGTTTTATTTTAATATTTGTGATTTTTTATGTGGTTTTTTAATTGCGGTCTAACACAATATATTATGAAACATGATACGAACTACGCCGACCAAATTTTGACAAGAGATTGGAGAATTTGAAGGTATTTTACGATCACGTGTTTGGAAGTGGGCTTCAAAAATACCGCAGGAAAATGGTCGCAAACATACGATGAAGGTCGACGACGGACATATGACCACAAACCTTATTGAGGCCATTAATTCAGTACTAAAAGGTACACGTCATCTCCCAATAGCGAGTGTGGTGAGAGAGACGTACTTTAGGTTGGCTAAGGTTTGGTCCGATAAGGCAAAGAAATTGAGATCTCATAAATAGAGGTCAAACTTGGGCTCCTACAGTGGTGGAAGCAATGGAAGCAAATAAGCGATTGACAACATCAATGGTAGTTCATAATTTCGACCGAGTTGGTCATATTTTGTTGTGTCGAATTTGGTCAGCCATTCGAATGAATCTGTAAAAAAATTAAACAATATTTATAAAATCATTTAATATAATCTAATAAAACTAACTAACAAAAAAATTATATAATACTTATAATATAATAAAATAATAAACTAACAAACTAAACTTTTTAAAATATAACTTAAACGCGCCCTTAATCAACTAATAAACTATTCTTTTATATAACTTAAACTACTAATAAACTAATTAACTAAATTTTTTATATAATATAAATTCAACAAACAAATATAACTTAACTATTTAACTAACTACAAACTAATTAAATATTTTTTATATAACTAACGACTAACAAACAAACTAATTAATTATTTTTTAATATATAACTATCAAATCCGAAAGATGATTACCTAAATTTCCCTAAGTGACAATGATTACCTATATCGGTAATTAGGCTTTTACCCGAAACCCTAAACTAACAAACTAATAATTTAAAATAATAAACTAATTTAAATAAAATAAAAAAATTACCTCACGATGTTTTCCTCCCTTTCTTCTTTTCTTCCTTTCCTTTCTCTTCGCACTATTCTCCCTTTCTTTCTTTTATGCTTCGTTAATCCCATATCATATCCTATATATAAAAATTAAGCCCCGACTGCTTCAATTAATTGGGCAATAATTGTTGAAACCATGGGCCTCCAACATCTGCAATAATGCAGCAATAATCATATCCTATATATAAAAATTAAGCCCCGACTGCTTCA